GGAAAAGTAGTTTTGATAGCAGAAAAACCAAATAACATTATGCCAGTCAATTTCTAAATCAGATTTCAATGAGCTTGTTTTACAAATACCAATGGTAAATACACATGGTGGTGATCAAACACCAGTGAGGCAAGCTGGTAGATTTAAAAATATCCTTACTTTACTGATAAAGAAATCGGAATGTGAAATGACTGAAACCAAATTTTAAAAAAATTTCAGGTTTGCCTGCCACTAAGTAGCAGGAGAATGAAGAATTATTTGAAAAATTATAAATTTCTTTTCTTAGTTCCTAAAATTGTGTGGGTCTGTGCCATTTAAATGTAAAGATTTGAAAGAGGTGATCTGTCTTGTTGCACCATTAGGACACAGCAAGGGTGGGAGCAGAGCTCTGCCACCCACTGCCCAAGCACACAAGCATCCCCCAACCCTGCAGCAGGAGGAGTGCGCCACCCTCCTCTTCATCACAGGGGATGGCTACATGGAGCCAGAGCCAGGAAAATAATTTTCCTTTTCCAACTGTATGTCATCATTGAGTATATTGATTGGAAGTCAGCAATTGGGTCATTTCTTTCACTTTTTTTGAGAGAGAAAGCATTTCATCAAAACTAATGAAATTAAACTGGCTGAACTATTTCATAGCAGCAGCATTATCTGATTTGTCTCTAGCTTACGATGTCCTGCACTGAAGTTTGCATGTGAAAGGCTGGATCCACACGTCTCTTCATCTACTTTGCTCTCTCCAGTGGCACTGTTTATACAGGGGTGGGAGCAGGATTATAAGAAGGCTCCAGACTGACAGTGACATTGTGTCCTTAAAGTCTCTCTTCAGGCTCATTTCTTTCAGATTCAAATGATTCTTGTTTAAATCATTCTTTAACTAAAACCTGTTACAGGCATATGGCGCATGGGCTATTTCCACCATCGGAGCAATTACAGAGTACTGTGTTTATTATTTTTAAGGGAAAATTTAGACACTATGACAAACACTAACCAAATCCAAAGCCCTATCCACCCTCTGTCATTTTTATCTGAAATTTCTCAGCTTTGTTTTCCCAAGGAAAATTCCAAACTCTCTACAAGAAGCTTTCTCCAACAATTATACCAGCCTCTTACTGAGTTTCTTTTGTGTAAAAGGTGGCCTCTCTGACCTGTTCTGTTCTTCCAGTGCCTGACTGAAACCCTACAGAAAAGGCATTTATTTGCTCTTGCCAAGGGGAAAGAAAGCAGGATGAGCTAAGCCTTAGCTGGAAGAGATAAGTCTTTGCCGGATGACTCCACTGCAGAGCCCATGGGTGATATCAGAGGCCAAGTCTTTTAAAATAGGTCACCTCTTGCCCTGCATGGCTGCTCCAAGTGCATTAACATTATCCAGTGGGAGAAGAGAGGCAGATTAATTTTGATCTTACTCTAAAACGACCACAAGGCTTCCCTCAGCATGGTCATGCCGTTTGCACAACCACGGAGATTCAAAGAAAAAGCAATCAGCAACATCAAGTGGTTATCATCCTGGCTATAATCAGCCTCCTTCCACTTGGTTCTTTTCTGACCTCATATAATGACACTTGTGGGGTAGTTCAGCTTATTACATCAGCTTGGCTGGGTCAATGTGCTAATAAACATTCAAAAGAGCTCTGCTAATAAGAGTATTTGGGAGACAAATCCCTTGGTGTTTCTTCCTCCATACTTCAGCAATATAGCCGGGCCAAATCTTGAAGGTTTCCCTGTGAGTGGGTGAGATTTTGCCCTGGGTAAAGACTAAAGCTTAGAGCTCTAACGCTGAAAGGGGCTCTGTGCAGGTAGACAGCCTTTCAGAAGGGTCTCTCCTTAAAGAACTAAGGTTTCTTTTCAGAAAGCCTATGTACGTATCCAGACTGATGGAAATATACTGTAGGCTGAACCTTTCATTGATGGACTATTCCTCTTCCTGAGGACACTAACTAAAACCTGAAACCCTGTTTATTTGCCAGGTGCTAGTCCAGTCTACATGAGGTAAGGGTCATGCTAGCCTCAGACATTACTCACCCAGCACAGGGGAAAGTCCTCAACTGCTTTTTCCTCAGCCCAGGTGTAAAAAACCTGTAAATAAAGCTCCAATCTTATTTTTACATACCTCAGCTTTCCAGTAACTTAGGTATGTACAAATCTCTTCTCAGCTCTTCACATGATTTCTATTATAACACTTTAAAAGAAAAACACAAAAACTGTAAAGAAATGGCTTGAGTAATTAGATTCCTGTTAGCTAATTAGAACAGGCAAGAATAATGCTTTCATTAATTTATTTAGACTGCTTTCAAAGTATTGTAAGCTACGCTGGGAAACACTATTTGTCCAAGGAAGAATGTTCACACCATTATTAATGTAATCCTTCAGTAAGACCAAGATGGCTCTAAGTATTTCCCCAGGCAGAGAGCTCTTGACTGAGCTCCAGCCCACGCTGCACTCTGGCTCTGCTCTCTGTCACCATTATATTCTCCCGTTTACTTCTGCTACAACCCCACTGTCCCTGTCTCTCATTACTACCTCAGCTACACACAAGTACTTCTATCTTCCTTCCACGTCTCCCTTGCCTTTCATCTTTTCCTCCTTTTCTACAAGAAGAGTTTTTGTTTATTTTCTACTTTCTGCCTCAGTCTATGGCACTCAGGGATCTCAGCTTCCCTCATTCCCACTCCTTGTCACCTCTCCTTAAATATCGATATCCTTCATTGAGTCTTATCCATCAAAATGCCTGTAAAAAAATAAGCATGCAATGTTCTTTCTGTTCTTAAAAATAAAGGCATGTCAGACAGAATGTACCATTGACCAAACTGCATGCATCTCCAACCAGCTGTACCTTTCCCTTCATCTCACAACTCACTTGAAACACTTCATGTCTGCTGCCTCAAGTTTGTCTCTTTTGCTCCTTTAGGTTTATTTCTGATCTCTGTCTACTGAATTTGAAAATTTGTTTGTTTGTGTGATTTTGTAAGTCATTAAGTTTCTGTTTTTTCTGATGCTATTCATTGGCACTACTTGCCCTGTGGGTATGAATGATTTCTCTAACTCCGTACAGGACCAGTTCTGTTCCCCAAATTGCCAGTCATATAAGGGCTGCTGGGTGAAAGGAAGGGCTGGAAACTTTCTAGTTCTGGTAGGTTTAATGTCATCCCACTAAGAACACCAAATGTGCAAGCCCAAATAGTTAGAGTTCTGCACATCCTTAGGAACAAGAACTGAAACTTGACAAAGCTGCTGATTGCCATTTTTGTTTCTTATGCAAGTCTCAGTTTGCATTTACAAAACATATTTTTAATCTGTGCAAGTTTAGATTTTCAGGAAGGAATGGGACATAAGCTACTTTTCATTGATCTCTGCTGAAAGTTCCTGATTTCTTCACATTTCAGCCTCCAAAGTAAATCCAGGGTCCTGAGCTAAAAAAAGTCCAATGTTGAATCACTGAAAGTCTCTGTCTGTTTGGTATACAACTAAAAAGAAAGATTACAAGCACGTAATAATCACCGATTTAGCCAGCCTAACTTCGTATCCCAGAATGCTTTACAAAGGTGAATAGACACTGCTATACTTAAATAGGCACTGCTGCTATTATTTACAGGTAGGGAAGTCAAGGAAGAGATTAGTCACCTTACCAAAATTCATACAAACGTCAATGGCAGGAACTGGCTTCCTGATTGTCCTGTCTAATTCTGTATCTGTGAGACCACGCTTTAGTAATCAGCATTGTTTTCAACTACACTTCTTAACCTTGAGTATAAGTCATTTGAATGTCTTTCATATAAAGGTAATGGGAAATATATACATTGAAAAAGTCCAGTAAGTCAATTAACGTTTGCAAGATGCACAGGTACAATGGTAGAACACAACAGAAAGTCCAATCCATCTGCCTGGACTGGCTCGTCCCCTTGCACACAGCACATCACAAGCAGCCAATATCTAGAGAATAAATTAGATAAAGTGATATTGCCTAGACCTAATTCTTTCCTCAGACCTACATTTAGAGATCTGCCACACGTCAGAGGAAATTGCACAGTGATACCTGCAAGTAGGAAATTTTAGAAGCAACATTGGAACAGTGGGAGACTGATGTCTCTGGTTTTAATGGCATTTTATTTTAGAGTTCCAAACTACTGTGCATCAAAGATCCTGCATGATCTTCATCAAATATTTGGGAAATCATCATCAGAAGACAGACACTTTCTGGCCGTTAACCCCATCAAGACAACAGTAGAAAAATAATCGCATGCCAAAACTGGTTAAATGCAATGGTTAGGAAGATCCTTGACCCTCCTCGGCTTCATACAATTTTACTTAGTTGTTCAGACAGGTTCTCAGAAGCACTTATTTTCATTAGAAATGTCTAGTATTGACCATTTCTGCTATGCCTATAGGCCAAAGCAAATTAAGGCATCAAAAGTAAGCAGTTCCAGGAAAAATTTCAGTCCAGTAATGTCATGAAACTTTTAAGATGAAAGATTAGTCTTTGTTAAGCTTTGGTTTGCTAATTTTACATATTACTGTTCGGTGCTCTTCAGTGCCTATATTGGTATATTAATAACTTAAGTGAGGTGAGGTTGTTATTATTATTTGAGTCCGGTAAAGCCCTTCGTGAGTTTGCTGCACATGGTTTGGCACCCCGGACTTTTCTGGCCATGGAAGAAAGTGCAGTCCCCAGACCAAGCAGCCGCCTGTCCCGATGGCCACCGGTGAGCGCAGAGCCCTACTGTGAGCCTGGCCAGAGCACCATCTGCTAACGGAGCTCTGTCGCTTGCTGTTAATTCACAGACGAAAAATGGGAGTTAAGTGCTTTAGATGCAGTGCTTATGTCTAAATGCTAATCAGGGCCTCTGATTTTCTGAGACACAAAAAGAGAAAGAAAAGCTGTAAATCAGAAGGGTAGTTTCTTACTTACAATAGTGCTGTAGAGTTCAGTGCAGTCACAACGGTTAGCACTGAGAAATGCCTTTGTACTAACTTTTCTCTTTCTGTATCTTTTTCTTCTCTAGAAAAAGATGAGAAAAGAACAAACATCTCACAGGCAGAGGTAAGTGATTTATTTTTTTAAAAAAAACATATTTATTGTTAAAATAGGTCTGTTTTTAAAATCCCTTTGGAACTCACTGATTCATCCTGGTTAATGTTTTTATTTACTTTGTCACGCCATCTTCAGTAATGCAGCCTTTTAAGAACCATCGCTTTCAAACCAGGGCTGTGTGGTGTCTCAGCACTGCCAGCTCTCCCTTCTCCCTGTAGCAGGGAACTGGGAAAGGCAAATTTCCCCTCTGCCTTCTGCCATGCCCTGGCAAATTGTAGCAAACCTGCCCAAGGCGACTCTGCCAGGTCACCTCATCCAGCATTGCTTTGGGTCTGTAGCTCACTGCTGATCTACAAAAGCATTGCAAACTCCTCTCTCCTCTTTCCATCATTTGCCAAGCCTACAGCAGGCCGTGCATTGATGTTGTTTGCAGAAGAGTTAAAAGTCGGCTCCTCTGATCTCATTTTCTTACCTCCCCTTGCAGAGCCCCTGCAATTCCTTGATCTCTTTCTCCTTCACCCATTGCTCAGAGAAGCAGGCAGTGCTTTAAATAGCAGTAGGAGGTATTGATTGGTTCAAATTTGGACTCAGATACAGACTTATAAAGATTTACTGGGGTGACAATCAACAACCTATCCCACAGTGTTTATAAATAGCTTTCTCTTTCAAAAGAAGACGATATTTTATTTATAAATGTTATCATTCCATCCACTGTGATAAGGTAAGGTACCAAGATTGGCCATACTTGTGTGAAAGTGGTTTTCTTAAGAGTTGTCTCAAATGTTCCTTGAAGAAATGGATCTGATTGAAATTCACAGACTATATACCAGTTAAAGTACTCAGGGAAAAAGGCATTTTTAGCAAATATTTGGGAAAAGGTAGCATCGTTATGACCAAATACAATTAGAAATTGATTAGATGAGAAAAAATAAAGCTTGCCTACACACAGCTTTTTTTTAACCTTTTTCTCAGGAATGCAATATGATGCTTATGTCTTCAAAAGCTAGCTATGTGTGTGACCTTATGTAGTTTTATAATTGTTTGTATATGGATATATTTCATGTTGTAATAAGGACAGCAATTTAACTACTTTCATTTTGCAAAAGTTGCTCTGTTTTAGCACTGGAATATATTCCAGTTAGTTTTTGCTAATTATACATTGGTATAATTATACTACTATTACTCTATGTATAATTTTACTACCATTATTTTGGAATCATTTATCTTTTGTGCATAGATGTGATTTTGGAGCCATAAAAAGCTCAACTGTGTCTAAATATGTCACTTAATTCAGGCCCGGTTCAAGGCTGAGTGATTGGTTACTGAAATTTCTATTTTAGGAGTAATAGAACACATTGAAAAAGTGGAGGGGGAGGGAATCTTCCATTTATTTATGTAAAAAATTTATATATTAATAATTTCAGTACTACCTTACCTATACATATAATCATGCATTACACTGTATTTGTTTGGAATATTGGTTAATGTAATTCTTGCAACTATTTTAATATATATAAACATTTATTTGCCTCACGAGAATTAGTTAAGTAGGGTGTTAAAGCACAGGCTGTCTTAATTTTATGTTTAATATTTTTAGAAGGGCAATTTTCAGTAGTATTGGGTCTGTTTTGCCTGGGAGCCATAAAGATTGTCCACTAAACACATATTTTTGTCTATCTCATCTTAGTTTTCCCTATATTCATGAAAGCTGGGGAGATGGAATCAGATTTATACAATTCAGTTTTCTTAGAAACATCTCAGATTGGTGTGTGCACTCTCTGAAAGCAGCTGTGGGACAAGACCTGGAGCTGCCATGACCAGAAACCTCTCCCTGTGCCCATCTCTTACCGCTTCTCTCTGTGTTTTGTCCCTCCCCAGTCCCAGAGCGGCTCTCCCAAGCAAAGGAAGCAGAGCGTCTTCACCCCGCCTGCCCTCAAAGGTACTGTGCAGGTACTGTCGCTGCCCCTTCCACCGTGGCTCTGTGCTTTCTCTCGCAGGGGAAACGCTGGGGCGTGAGCCATGGCTCTCTGCCCATGAGAAGCGCGGCTCTGAAAGGTTCATACTTAACCATCCCTGTTTTCACACTTGGAAGTGACTGGCTGGCATTGGCCATCTGCCTGATACTGACCATCTATTTATCCTCACCACAGAATCTCGCAGCAGTGGCAATTTTTATTTCTATTTTTTTAAAAAAGCTTCTTTTTTTGCAAAGTCATGATACTTTTATCAGTTTGATAGAACAGATAACTCAATGCCAAACTTTGATGAGTACTCCTTGAATACGTAAGTTTCATCAATGCTGGCCCCATACAGCTCTCTGTTTCTTATTTAAACCACTCCTGTATATTCTGCCTCCCTTTCCAGGCAGCTGTGAAAAGGAGAATAGCCAAAATTGTGGACTGGGTGTCTGATCACAGGGAGTGTGAAACCTTTCTTGTGAAGATAATGAGAAATGAGAAATTGTGGTAAATGTTTAAAGGGCTTACACGTTTTTCGGGATGAACGTAATTTTTAGGAATACTAGCTGGAATCAGAGCAGCTACATTTAGGCCTTGTTTCTCAAATGACTCTGAACAGAGTTTGACTTGGTGGTGCGTGCAGTGAAGCAAGATCTATGGTGATTTGCCAGCACTTCCCACTGACACTTGTCAGTGCAGGGTTATTTTCAGACTGCAGACCAAAGAGTATCCTGCCAGGTGTCTCCTGATAGATAATGAATATCCTCAATTTCCATTCCTTCTGCTTAAAGCAATTTATTACCTGGCAAAAAAGGTGGGACATCTGACTTGTTGTGTGAAATACTGCCACTGTCGTTAGGTAATTCACAATAGCAGCCTGTATCTCATTCTGTAGCTTCAGCTCTCTAGTACTCTAGGACAGTTAAAACACTGCTCAGGTGCTGCACAAGACTTACTATCTGTTTGTCAAAATGGGCTAAAGTTTGTGTACTGGATGTTAGAAAAAAAATCTTAATACAGTCAATTATAATAATTTGTGGAAGGAAGAAGCTTTGCATGGGGAGCAATAATACCTGTTGATCTCACTGCTGTACTATTTTGCTGTACAAGCCTAAACGAAATACTGTGCAAATGAAGTGCTCTGTAAAATAGGTCCTTGTGTCTCCTCTGAAGGACTGCAGCCTACTCAGTGTTTACCTTTAATACCCTGCTGAGACCTGCGAAAGTACCTGGCATAGTTTGCTTCTACATCAACTTGTCATCCCAGGGAGCAGTAGGAAAGTATGTGATTCAAGACAGATCACAACTAACCTGAAATATCTTGTAAACGGAACAAAGCAAAGCACAAAATGCCTCTCCTCAATACCTTCACACCCTAAACTGCACAGTGTTCCCACATACACAGGTGGACACCTGGAAGTTGATAACCCTTCCTATAAACAGGCTGGATTCCTCCAGATTTGCTGTACTGTAACTGTCATAAATACTATGCTTTTTGTTTAAAAATTACTTGAAGTAGAGAATTCATTATTCCTTCCTCTTCATTGTTATGAAAACATGGATGTGATTTTGTTTAGACTAAGAGATTAGGAGTCAAACATGTAGTAATGTGAAATACGCAAAGCTATGAAAGCATTACTAAAAAGTACAGAGTTTTTGTGACGATTTAAATTATTCTAGTTTTATAGCACTTGAAGGCAGCAACATTCAGCAGTATTTTCAGAATAACAGGCTTCATAATTGCATACTATTCCCACAGCTTTGCATACGTTTATTTCCTGTGGGCTGTTCCTCCCTCAGTATATTCACAATATGGTATTCAATATGCAGAAAGAATGAGATTCTGGGTGCTGAACCTCTCTCCTTTACACCCGCTTTGGCTGCTCTGTATCCTCTGGGGCTGTTATTAATGGAAGGTGAGATAGGCTGTAATTGGTACCCTACGTTCAAAGATGGAGATAATAAATCTCCATAAAACAGAACTCGTAGTGGAAAAGAGGGACAAACATTTTAATTTGTTAATTTCTCTGACACCTTAGTAGTTTTTAGCTGCTGTTAATTCAAAGTTCCCAGAAAGAAGCCAAGCTGGCAGGCGGGTGCAGAGCCTGGAAACCGAGAGAGCAGCTGCGTGCCAAGAGCTGTGGGGGAGACGAGGGGCCATGGCCTGAGCTTTGCTCTGCACCCCTGGCAGGGAGGTGGTCAAGAGAAACCGTGGGGAGAGTCAGGCTTCAGCCTGACACCAAATTGCCAAGTAGCTCTTGAGATTATTATTTCTACTTTGAACTGAAAACATTTTTTGCACTTCTTGCAAGTTCCTTGAAATAATTACAAAACTGTGTGAGAGAAAGGTTGCTGTTTTCATGCCTAAGCAAGAGAGAGAAAGCAAGAGTAACTGAATCTGCATGTTGTGATTACAAACAAAAGAGGAACTTGTTAACATGGTTAAAAGAAGCAGAAGCAACATCAGACAATAGTGATGATGAGTTACAGTACCAGGACTACAGTACGTGTTACATGGAATATGCAAATACCTGAAAATACATTAAGTAAATGAAAATGCAGTACTGCCGAGGTTCTACATGTCATGGTAAATATAAGGAGATCAGCTTCTTAGTTAAATGTGGGCATATTTTTCCCCTCTGCCATAGCAGTCACCTAAACTGAAAGACAATGTTATTATCTGTCTAAGATCACCCCCAAATAATTTGCTTCCATCCTTACAACAGTTTGCTCTACCTCGAGGCAGGTCTGTAGTTGCTGCAGCAAGCTCTAGCAAACCTGTGTGCCTGCAGAGCCAGTGTCATGTTATGGTGCAACAGGCAGGTTCTTATTACTATATATTTTTGTGTACTTTGGATCCTGCTTTTATTTTCCTAAACAAAAATGCACCAGAGTCCCTACAGACAGAGCAAATAGCTGACTCATCTCAGAGCATTGATCTTTTTATTGGAATACAGCGTGCTGGAAAAATCAATGTGAAACTATTGATTTAAGTGGTAATCTCGAGAGCGGGTCAGACAGCAAACCAGATAACAGCTCAGTGCAGTGTTCTTGTTAGTATTAAATTACCAAACCTAATGGATGTCAAAGAGGTTCTCCATTTTGCTTTCAAAAACTTTTTTTTTCTAGCTCAGCTACACTAATGTTTGTCAATTCCACGTTCCTATGTAGCATGCAATGTTGGCAAAAGTCAGTATCTGAAGATTGCACCAAATTAATCCATCATATTTTCAGTATGTTATGATTTACTTCTTGTCACATTTTTTTTCTAGGTAGAGCAGCACTCTTAACTGAAGATTCGTCACCTCTGTTTCCCCTGTTTGTGCCAATTTTTTTCCTTCTGTTACTTCTGGGCTTTTATGTCTGAACTTTAAATCCTTTCATCCTTCTTTAACTTCCAAAGCTCTAATATACTAATCTTGAATCTCCACCACTTTCTTTCATTTTAAGCTGTTCTTCTTCATGTGTGGAGGTTGGATTGAACCTCCCTATGAAAAACACCCTAAAAACAACCAGAGGAAGGTTTCTCAATTTGAAGAGTCACCGGTTTTACCTAGGGCAATCTTTTCCAGTCAATTCTCGTTGCATAAGGCCCGTTTCTCCTGTTTACTGATCTGCTTCTCATTCTGTATGACAAAACCAAGAAGAATCCTTTGGTTATTTTCCTCTATAGCAAAATAGATGTTCAACTGTTTTAGTACAAATATCCATCCATCCATCTTTCTCTCCCTCCCTCCCTCCCTCCACAAATAGCATCTTTAGGGATATCTTCATTATTCTGGTCAGTGAGTTAGAGGAGCTCCTGGAAGTCTTGCTGGATTCTTACCCTTTTCCCCTCACACTCACCAGAGAAGTCTAAAATGGGATGATAACCCTCCCAGGTAGAGAGGGACCAAGTGGAAGGCAGCTTAGACTGCCAAGGCAGAATCAGATTGCACTTATCGCAAGTAACGGTGCTTCCGTGGTGTCTCATTACCACTTGAAAATCAAAAGAGCACATGTGAGTCTCAGAGCTACAACTGCAACTTTCCATCCCAAGGCATACTTTGTGCCGAGGCAGGTTTCCTTTTACCTAGGTAGTCACATTTTGTTTGGTATCTCAGCTCATCCTTGAAAGGAAACTCAGACTGAAGTGACAGGAAGCAAGATTTACAAAGACAAACAGAGGACAGCCTGAGCTGTTCCCAAACCTGCATTGCTCCCTAGAGCTCCCAAATCTCCACATTATCTACCAGCTACTGCTATTAATACTAGCAGCTATTTAAATACCATCAAGGTCTCTCCCTGTGAAGGAAGTGCACATTCCCGAGTGGTTTGAGGATTTCATTAACAGTGAGCCTACTGGTGTGGGTGTGCTAGAGGTCAGGGAAATAGGAAACCTTCACTCATCCTAGTTCACCCTGCAGGAGGCTATTTAGATCAGCATCAAGATCCTACTAATTTCAGAGGGCTTTAAAGAAAGTTCTTGCAGCTCTCTGTGTTCGCTAGACCACCTTTGCAATTAGCTGCTATCAAATCATAATTAAAGTCTTTCCCCACAGAGGTGAAAGGTACGTTTGACTGTTTTCCCTCTCAGCCTTTTGGGAAATACCTCCTTTAAATTCCCTTCTTAATGTATTTTTCTTTGCATAGAAACAAAGACTTTTTCTTGAACCAGGCCCCAGCTACAACGTTCGAAATGGGATTAAATCCGAGTTGTTACAAATCTAAGGAACGTTCAAAGACATCATTTCGGCTTGACTCATTAGACGACGAGGACTGACTGGCTGTTCCCAAAGTGTTCAGACCCAGGGATTTGATACATGCATAATTCTAGTATTTACAATGATGGTTGATATTAAATGAGCTCTTTCTAGCTTCTGCCATGAATTTCAGATGCTCAGCTTGTTTAGTGCCTCCTTGTTCTTCTCTCCAAAGGAAACAACATGCAGAATAAATGATTAAAATCATGATGTCCCTCCTGAAATATGTAATTTATTAG